AGCCCTTTCGTACAAAAATAGGGCTTTGGGCCCTGGCGTGGCCAGATGGGACCCTCCCGGGGCTGACATAGTCTGGTGCTTCCTCCGTTGCCATGGCAATTTGGGGCAACCCCTTCGCATTCAACATATCGCCAAACAAGAGCTCAGAAATGGGACTGTTGGGAGACTACAAACCCCAGAATCCCCAAGCAGTCACATTTCCCGCCAGCTCTGAACGGAAGGGAAGGTTAGGCTCTTGGGTGGATCTGTGCTTCAGTCTTTCCTCAGGGAAGGGCCGTTGTTGACCTCTCTAATTCCCGGTGGGGTGGGTGGGGGAAGCGCCACACTTATCCTCACTCCCCCACACCCACACACCCACACACAGTGGTTGCCATTGCCTTGAACAACAGGAGCTGACATTATACACCACTAGCTCGTGTTCACACCAGAGGAATGTAGGCAGGACGGTGGAGGGGAGGCGCGGTGGGGAGAAATGCACCCCAAATGTAGAGTGTTTGTGGAAGGAAACGGGGGTCAAGAAACCCCCGCCCTGACTGGCTGTTTCCCCCAGGCTGAACATTTTTGAGAACAATATCCTCCACCCACCCCTCTTTTCCCCCCTACATCAAATCAGACTACACACAAACATACACGAAGTGGCTGAGTTTTAGGGCCAGAGAGGACCGTAACACCCCCCCACACACCTTTTGATTCCTCTCCAGGTGCAGAGCTGATCTCTCCGTGATCCACTTTTCCGGGGCCAGACGGAGCCCCAGAAACTGCTGCGAGGCAGGACGGAAGCGTGTGCCTCTGCACATGTTCAGAGTTCTCGCTATACCCCCTTGGACTGAGGATGGGAGGATCAGCCTTGCCAATGGCATTTTTCTGGCCCTAAGCCACCGCCTGGATGCGTCCCTCTTCTTTTTTCTGCCCCCACTGGTGTTTTTTTTTGGGGGGGGAGGAAGCTACATTAAGGCCAACTTATTTATTTTTTAAATAAAATATGCTTCATGATTTAAAGGGTGGGGATGGGTGATGCTGGTGGGGGAGGGTCTTTATTGCAGCTTTTCTGGGGAGGGTCAACTGGGAAGAGACATGATGCCAGGTGGGTTGGTGGAGAAGCACTGGGTGTGTATGAGCGAGAGAAAAGCGGTCTAATCCTGCGGGTGGATTTGCTCTCCTCAAAAGGATGAAATCATAGCTGTCCCTTGACTCGTGACATTGTTTTCATTCATTTCGTATGATAACGTCTTCGCACTGGCAGGTGCTCCATGATTTTAGTTCCTTTTTTTAAAAAAATGGAAAAATAAAAGTTCAACAGTTTTATTTGCTTCCTTCTCTGGACTTCTCTGTGATGGAAAAAGTAAATGGTGTGCTGCCAACTTTCTTCTCAGGCTTTGCTCCTGTGCTTTGAAATCAACTGGCACAGGTTGCAGGGTGTGTGTGTGTGTGTGGGGGGGCGACATGCTCCTCAGGACCATCCCCCCAGGGTCAGTCTCTGTTTGCCAGAGGCCCAAAATGCAACAGGCTGGATTGGTCCTGATAAAACCTCAAGAGGACCGGGTATTTTGCAAAGTCAATGGCTCTTGCTTGTCTGTTCAGGATGACATTCTTTGCTCTCTTGCTCACTCGCTCGCTCTCTCAAAACTTCGAGATATAGCTATATATGTGCTGCTGCTACTCCCTCCAGCAATAAAACACCCAAAGATGCCGTGTAGCTATAGAAAGAGGAAGGAAGCCAGGAAGGGCCCTGCAGGGTAGTCAAGGCTGGGGGTGGCCAAGTTCCTTTTTGAGAACACAGGCCTCCGAAAAGGAGTTTCTGGCCCTGGTTTAGAAGGCGCCCCTTTTCCCATTAGCCCAGGAGAAGCCAAGAGGAGATTCTCTGCGGGATGGGGAGCTGGACCAGCCTCCCCCTTCCTCTGATTTAAAAGGAAGGGAGGGGGTATCTCTGGGTATTTTATTGCACGGGTGGGTTAGTAACAGCAGCAGGGGGTGGGCTTACGGTTGACAAACTTTTGATTGTCTTTCTCATTTCAATTTTTAGAAAAACCACCAGCTGTAGAGAATTCGCTTTCCCCCTCCTTCTCACCTTCCCCCGCACCAGAAACGCTGAATAGTATATCCAAACCGCATTTCTTTTTAGAGTGGGTGACCACAGGTTGAGTCGCTGGCATGTCCTCCATCACCACCCCCAGGGGAAAAAAACAACCACCTCTAATCTAGAAGATCCAGAACCTAGAAATTCTAAAACCTGGAACAATGAGCCCTATTTTGTTTTTCCCCTTATGGGGGATTCTAGTCTAAGCACTGACTCGCCCCCCCCCCAAGCTTTGCCGGAGGTCATGGGGAGGGCTTGACCGCTGATCCTCTGCGCTCCTATCTGGATGTGGCGGCACTCACCGCTCCGGTCCATGCGCTCATAGTCTCGAGAGTAGACTACTGTAATGCACTCTATGCGGGGCTGCCCTTGAGATTAATGCGGGAACTACAAATGGTCCAGAACATGGACGCCAGGCCAGACTATTAACCGGGGTGAAAAAATATCATCATCTTTCCCCGACTCTGGCAGCCTTACGCTAGTTGCCCATTCATTTCCGCATTGACTTCAAGGGATTAATGCTTGCATATAAAGCCCTAAACGAGCCAGAAACTGGGCCTTTTCGGTGGTGGCCCCTCGCCTCGGGAATATTTTTGCCCCCTGAGATTCGCCTGGCGCCCTCGCTGGGAGTTTTTAAGAACAAGCAGAAGACTTGGTTTTTCAGGGAAGACTTCCCCCCCCCCCCCCTTTCCCATCCTTTATTTCCCTGCGTTTCCCCCTTTTTTTGTTTGGATCTTGTCTGTTTAAATTCTTCTTTTAAAGCGCTCGGACTGTAAGCCGCCCAGAATACAGTAGATTCGTTTGAAGCTAGACGGGCGGGGGTAAAAGCCAAATAAATAAATAAATAAACAAACAAAAGAGGCGAGATGGATAGACTCCCTAAATGGAAGCCACAGGCTTGAGTTTTGCAAGAGCTGAGCAGGGCTGTGTAGAAGAAGACAAGCCCATTTTGGAGATCGCTCATTCAAGGAGTCGCCATAACTCAGAAAAGATCTGACGGCCCAGAAGGGTCCCATTGGGGGGGAGATTCTGGGATTTGTAGTCCTCGACCATCCTTTTATGGTCCGCCACGCAGCTCCACCCCCACCCCCACCCCGCGTTCCCTTACCCGGCTGAGGCTCCTGGGCGGGACAGTTTCACCCGGCGACTGATGACGCGCGCCCGGATTCCCCCCCCTAT